GTAATAACTCAGGATGGAGAGTGTTTTCCCAGAATTCAGACCTTGCACTGCCTGCCTTGGGGTGCTCCTTGGGCTGAGTGAGAGGGGTGCTGGCAGGGTGTAGGGCGTTGTCCCCTCACCAGTAAGGCTTCTCTGTACTGGGGGATGTCTGACATGCTTTTTTACCTCTCAGCAGGAATAGCAGCATCTCCAGCTTTCTGTTGATACAATATGGGCTCTGACCCAGGGCATCACCCAGCTCTCACATCCCCTGTGGGCTTGAAAGCTGGGTTGGTCGTCAGACGAGAAGCGAAATGTCTTACTTTTTTTCCTTCAAACCTTCTGTTATCTGCAGATCTTGCTTCCCTCAGTTGTTACTCGTGTTTGAATGCGAGCTGGAAGTGTTTGCATCCGTTCAGGTGTTGTCAGTGTCAGGTGCTGGCTCGTGAGAAGGTGAACTGTGCTGAACCTCATACAGAACAGCTTCGAGGTGGTTGTGAAAGATGTGACATTACAGCACTACAAAAGGCTGAATTTTCATTTGATTGGCAAATCCTGAAGATGGGAGTAAGTGTTAATGGCAGGATGAAATGCAATATCATATTTGTCCCCAGAAATATATTTCCTCTCAGTTTGGGCTTTCTTTTTTTTTCCCATTTAAAAATAAATTGGACTTGGTTTCGCGAGGCAACGCTATCCTGTGAAAAGGCAGAGCGCTTTTTGTTCGGGGAAGTGTCAGAATGAAATGTTTCTACTCTTCAGCACTTTTCATATCCTCCCCAAAACCACTTACACTTTAGTTTCAGCTGATGTGAAACTGTCTGAGCAGATAAACCATTCCTGGGAAAACCTTTCCAAGCTGTTTGTGGAGTAACTGTGCCTAAAGCATAGGAGATGTGCTGCTGTGGGTCTGACCATCACCCTCTGAGTGTCTGTCCCCAGGGCAGGGGATGCTCAGACACCTACCAGCATGGAACAGGGGGAAGAAGCTCATGTATCCATGATTTTTCTCTGACCATCATTAAGCTGCTAATTCAGCTGAGCGCTTTTTATGTGCGTGCTGCTCTAGGAAGTTGGGCAGAATTCCCACTGGCTTAATTGGGAGGAACATCAGGCCAAGTGTGGTTATTTTTACCTGTCACTGCTCCCACTCCACCTCCTCCCTCCCACCTCCATTCCCCCTGGATGAGGAGGAACAGCTTTTAAAAGGTCTCTGCCAGCTCCGAGCAGCAGCCTCGTCATGAACTCTCATGACGTGCAGCGAAGGAAAAGGGAGAGGAAAAAACTGGAATTATGCTTATTTTTAAAATCCAATTATACAAAACTGTAGGAAAATAACTATTTTTGAAGGGAGCTGGTTGACTGGCTGGGCTTTGCCCCAGGTTGGGTGCTCCTGGGGCTGGATTTTTTATGGCAGGGGCTGATAGGGAGTGGGTGGGAACACTGGCCTCTGTTCTGCTGGGACACGCTTGTCTTTCAGAGATTCAGCACTTTTTTCATTGTGTTTCCCTTCATCCAACAGGAAAACTGATGGTTTTCCCTTCTAGCCTCCTTTCTAGCTCCTCAAGGAAGAGGAGTCCTCTTATTTTTTTTTTTTTTTTTCAGATGAGAGGAACCTCCCTGCAGGGGAATGGCAACAAAGCTGATGCTTTATTGATGTCAGGTGTCTCCATTTCCCTGTCCAGAGATGTATCTGGTGACCAACTCCTTGACAGCCATTCCTTGGCTGAGCTTGAGCTCTCCTCCTGCCCTGGCCATGGTTTTCCTGCCCTGGCCATGGTTTTCCTGCCCTGGCTGTGGTTTTCCTCATTGCACCCAAACTCAAGCTCAGGGTGAAAGCAGGGTGGTGGCAGCAGCGGTTGCTGTGGGAGCAGAGAACAGTCACAGTGTTGTGTTTTGACTGGTACTGTCACTGCCTGCAGCTCCCAGAGCCTGGGCTGGCACAACCAGCTTGTCACTGGTCCTGTTTTGTACCAAACATCTTGAGAATCAGTTACCTAGGGATGTTGGGACTGGTCATGCTGGTTGGGCTGACAGACCTTGTCTCAAGGTATCCTTGGTACAGTTCTGGAGCCACCCTTTCCCAAATCCACCTGGGTAACTTCTGGCTTGTGCTGGGATGAATGCTGCAATTCTCCTCTCTCTCTCCATGTGCTAGAACTGCCTCTGCCACACAGCCCAGCTCATCCTCAGGCTGTCTAGGGGCCACGGGGAGGAGGAGTTGTCAGATGTGTTGTTTTAGTAGCTGCTGCCGTGTCCTGGGAATTGGGGAATAGCCTTGTCAAACCAGAGAAGTGAAGTGACCTGATTCTTCTCCCCCCCCTCAGCCCTGTGTGCCTTGGAAGGGAGGAATGAGTGTGGGGCTGTTTGATGGCTTGTGTTTCCCCTGTCCCCCCACGGTGGGGGATGTTTGTGTGAGCATCTTGGCAGCTTCTTTGTGCTGTGCAGGGAGGGCTCAGACAGACACACTGACAGATCATATTTTTTTTCCCACCAAGCTGCTCCTGCCTTAGGACACCAGCTGCTTTGGATTTGGCTACCACAGTCCCTGTACACTTTGCCCTGGGTCACACTTCACCTGGCCATGCCTTGCCTGTTACCTGGATGGGAGGTTTGGATGTGTGTGCTGCACTCAGGTTGCTCCAGTGCTGGCTGGCTGGGGTTGTCCCCATGCTCTCCAGAACACTTTACTTCCTTTCTTCTCCCTTGAAAAAAAGGCAGTTAAATGTTAGACTTATCCTGTCCTTCCCTGAGATGCTCTGATGCTCTGGCCACAGGTTTTTTGCCCTTGGTACCCTCTGGGTGCTGGTAAGCTGCTTCCTGCACAGCATCCTCAGCAGAGAGGTCAGCTCTGCAGGGACTGCTGAGTGTGCCAGGGAGGAGAGAGGAGGCTTCCCATTGCCCTGCCTCTTTGAGTAGTGAAATTTTGAGGCAAAATCCCTCTATTTCCCCCCCTATGTACTCAAGACTGTCAGCAGAGCTGTGCACCCAGCAGCACTTACCTCTGTGGGCTTACTGGGGTGTGTGCAAGGTCCTGTTTTTGGGGGCTCCATACAGCAGTGTGGGGTGCAGCAGGGCTGTGCAAAATGCAGCTGCTCCCTCCTGCTCATGAAGGAGGCAGTGAGGGGGTCCTGCTTTCCCTGGGCTGGCTGTGGAATGTGGGGCACCTGATGGCTTTGTCCTGTCCACTGAGCAAAGTGCTGGCCCCAGGTTGTGCCAGCTCCATCCCTTTGGACATGTTTCCCTTAGCAAGTAGTGTGGTTTTTTTTTTCTTTCCTTTTAAAACTTTTTTTTTTTTGGTCATGCTCTTCCTCCTTGGCACGCAGGTCGGCGGGGGGGAGGGAGCCTTCAGCCAAGCTCTCCATCACATGTCCCTTGTTTTCTGTGTGTTATTTTTTCCCCACTGCTGCCCTTGCCAAGGGAAGGACATTGTATAGCCGCTGAGACTGGCAGGGGCTGCAAAGCTGCCTGCCAATAGCCTCGGTGTCTGAAAAGGCTTAGGAAATCCAAGCTCTAAATTAGCTCCCAAATCTTCTTCCTCCCTTTCTGTGGTTGGAATGCCCTGCAGAGCAAGCCCCGGCTCCGGGGCTCCCCATGGAGCAGCCGGCTCTGTCACAGGGCTGGGGGGGCTTCGTCTGGAGGGTGTAGTGGGATGGTGCCACAGGGATGCCAGGAAGATCCTTGGTTCAAGGCTCAAGGCAAGCTGGAGCACCCTGGGGAGAGGTGAGGGGCAGATTCTTGGTGTCCCTCCGCCCAACCTTTTCCACCCTGTCCCCCTGCCCGGCTCCCTCCTGCCGTAATCGATTGGCAGGTGTGCTGGGGCTCTTGGCTGTGCTGCTGGGGAGTGGGAGGGGAGGCACAGAGCTGGCTCAGGATGGCACAGGATGGCGGCCAAAAGCCTCCCTGGGGAGGTGGGAGCCCCATCCTGCGCTTGCCCCGAGGATGCTGCTGAGAGCAGCCAAGGTCACGGCATCACTGACGGCACACATGGCCGGGACATCTGGGGCCAGCTGAAGCTGGAGGAGGGGGAGCAGGAGGCGTGCTGGCTGTGTGTCTGTTGAGGAAGGGGACAACCTGTGCCGTGTCCAGCTGTTCCCCGAAGCACTTCATTTCTGCCCTTGCCAGGTCAGTCAGTGAAGGCAGCAGCAGCTGCTGCTGCGCAGTGCGATGGGAGCGGGAGCAGCTCTCTGTCCCTGCTCTCTGCCCGAGCACAATATCCACAGGGCAGCTCTTCCCAGGGCCATTGAGAGATGGTTTTGGAGCAGGCAAGCCTAGGAAACAGCTCTGGTCCCAGTGCTGCCCTTTTGGTGTGGCTGTGTCACAGAGCTTTGTCTTTGCTTCTGCTGTCACCTCGAGAGAGAGAAACAAGAAGGGCTCAGCTTTGCTGTGTCTCCTGGAAATTCAGGCTTCAGCTCTGCAAATGCCCTGCGGTTCTGCATCCCCCCTGGCACTCCAGCCTTCACACCGAATACAAATTGCTCTTTAAATGTCTCCAACAACTCTCTGTAGGTGGATTTTAGCGCTCAGGTGCTGCAGGCAGAGCACAGGCATCACAGCTGATCTGCTCTGCTAACCCCAAACAATCCCAGAAAGGGCTCCTGCGCCTTGTGCGGTGGAGCTCTTGGCATCCTATCTGGCTTTGCCTGTGGGTGAGGATGACTATCCTTCCCTGGAGGGCTGAGCATCACCAGGGCATGTTGCTGAGGCTCAGCAAGGACGGGCTGTTGCCACCAGTGTCACTCCTTCTCCGGGCCCTCAGAGGTGGCACGTGCGTCAGAAAACAGGAGCTCTGCAGAGCAGCCTCGGGCGTTGAAGTCTGTCCCCTTCATCCTAACAGCAGCTACCTTGGGAAATAGAAGAGGAAAATTCCACTTCCACAGCAATGTAACTTGGGTCTCGTATTATTTTTTTTTGAAGGCTCTGTCAGGCTCCTGCTCTCTCCCCCTCCCCGTGCTACGCAGCCGGCTCTGAAGCAGAAGTGATATTTTCTGCCAATGCAATGATTAGCCTTTCTGCTAATGACCCACGAACAGTGTCCAAAATAAATGAGCCCAACCTGCTCATCTTATTAGCCAAATGATTGCACAGAAAGAGGAAATATCTGCAGAAACAGCTTAGGCAGCTGGAATTTGGAAGTGTGGTGGTGTCACTGCTCAAAGTACGGAGAGGAGCCATATGTCTTCAAAAAGCCAGTTCCCTCCAGAGCAGGGAGAGCCCCTGCGTGTTATTGGAGTGATTCTGCTCACCCTCTGCTCTCCTTTTTGTGAGGTGACTGTGCAGGGCCAGAGACGTGGCTGTTCCCAAGCTCTGCTGATTCACAGGGCTGAGTAGCTGGGGACGAGCAGATAATTTTCCTCCTGTCTTCCTTGTCTTGTTTGTGGCTTCCCACGTCCTTTAGATGACAGGCAGCAGCACTGGAATGTTGGTCAGGAGAGCAGCTGATGCAGTAACTGGTACTAAGCTGTTCTTCAGGAGTTGTTCTTGTGTCCTTCAGCCTCTTCCCAGAGCACTTGGCAAGGTCATTCCATGTGGGGAGGGATGAGGAGCAGAAAAGGAAGAGGTGGAGGTACAGAGGGGTTTCTGCACATGATGAGGTGGAAATAAAAGAGCTCACTTTAGGAGGGTATTTCAGGCTTTGTTTAAATGTAAGAGAGAAACAGGGTTGACTGCAGGAGAAGGGTGCAGCGTGAGGAGGGAATATATGGGAGAAGCTGGAGGGCTGTGTGTGAAACCCCTCATGATTTTCAGATCAGCTTGACTTTCTCTGGGGGGTGAACTCAATTTGAAAGGTGACTTGTTTCCCCAGTCACTGCATGTGTGTCTCAGTAGGTCTCTTGCCAGCTAAAAGACCTGAGCCTGAGAGGGGTGACAGCAGTGTGGCTGCCCTGGAGAAGGGCTCTGAGGGCTGAGACAAGCCCTGAGTGCTCGGCCACCCATATCTTTGTAGCTCTATCACATCAGAGGATGCGTGCAAGCTCACGTCTTGCCTGGCAGCAGAGAAAAACGCCCTTGTTCCTCTTGTCCCCTCAGGCAAGGGCATCTGGAGACCTGGCTCACAATGCACCAGCCCTAAAACCTGCTGAGGAGGGCGAAGTTATCCCCTTCCAGCACCCCGTGCACACGCCATATGCTTCCCTGACCTTCTCCATAGCACAGCTGACGTGAGCTCCCACATGCCTGCTCCCTGTTCAGCATCTCAGCTCGTGGGGTCCCATCAGCCCCTCAGCATTGTGGGTCTGTGTGTCCCACTGAGACCCATCAGCAGCTGACATATGACCAAAAACACTTCATGATGTTTTAGGAATGTGTGTGTGCATGGATATCTATGGAATATCAACTCCATATAGGTATGTGTATATTTATTTTTTACTGAGCTGGGATCTCAAGGGTGTCATGTACAGAAATAAGAACCACAGCTTTAATTTTCAATTTAACTACATTCATATGTAGCTAGTTCATTACTCTTTTCTGTTTTATGCAGACAAATTCTGCCTTGGACTTCTTTCTTCCTTTCCTAATTAGTGGGGAAATTGCTAATTGTGCGGGTTTTTTTTCTGGGAAGTTACAGGTTTAAATGATTATCTGTGCTGGAAAACATCCTGACAGTGCAAATATTGAAAACTGGAACATGAAGTGGATGAGCCAGTGACCCTGGCTATCCTTGCACTCTTCAGTGTCTTTGATTGCACTGACCCTCCTGGGATGCTGCCCTCTCTCCCTGGGGCTGGGAGGGAGGTGGTCCAGGGCAGGGTGTGGATGGAAGGTTCACCTGCACGCCCCGGGCTGTGTGAGTGCAGCCCTGCTAATTTTTCACTGTCATTTTCTTAAACAAGTTTTTCAGGTTAAGGCTGAAGTGGTTTGGTTGTGCAAGGTGTGGTGTGTTGTGACTGCAGGGTGGGTTTTGTTTGTTTGGATTTTTTGTTTGTTTGTTAGTTTTGGGGCTTTTTTTGAGTGGGGTAGTTGTTTTTTTCAGTACCCCAACCCTTCCACTGGTGCCATCTCTGTCGATGGCACTGCCATCTGTTGGGATACTCCAGGAAGCACTGCCTTTCTCCAGGGCTTTGCAGGATGAAGATTACTTTTCCACAGGGTGTGCGGAGTGGAAGCGATCTGGAGAGGTCATTAAATCCATGTCTCTGCCCCCGAGCAGGATCAATAACCCTTTGTCACCAGTGATGGATGTTTCTCTGTCCTGTTCTGCAAGACTTCCCAGTGCCTGTGGGCAGTTGTTCCAGCCTGCCCTGTCTGACATGGATTGGGGCTTGGACTGTGGCTGACCCGGGGACGAGCAGCCCCACCAGTGCTCTGCCTTCAGCCCAGCTTTGTGACAGCCAAGGGTTTCAGATAACTTTTGCAATGTTTGGACTGAATAAAATCAGCAGGAGGTTTGAAGTGATTGATGGAGAGACCCTTTTCCTGTCAACGTTTTGCTCTGAGGATTTTGCTGCAAGTGCCTGGCAGTGAGCAGGGATGCAGGGCTTGGCATCCCCCCAGGGCTGGGTGGGTGGAGGGCTACCAGCACCATGGCTTTTTTTAAAGGAGGGGTCTAAACACTTTATTTTTCTTTTTGAGCTGTCCACTGAACAGTGGGACGTGCCTGTGTTCCATGTTGCCACCTCTGTTCCTCTCTCTCCAGCCACTTGTCCCTTCAGGGATGGGACATTTGGTGCCTGAGGCAGGGACATGGATTGCTGTGGCAATTGCTGAGACACTCACTTCTGGGATTTCCTTTCCTAGGGCTCCTGTTTGGTTCATCCTGTTCATCCTGTGGTTTTAAAACACACCCCCTTGTCTGGCTTGTGTGAGGGTCTTAGATCAGTAACTCTGCTCTTCTGCACTTCCCAGCACACCCTACTGCATTTATCCTTGGATTTATGCAGTTATTCTCGTCCCACTCCCACGAAACAGGGGAAGGGCTGTTCCTGAGTTGCTAAAGTGACCTTGGGATGTAGGGATTGATTGATTTTTAGGCCAGACAGAGCTGTGGCAGAAGCTGGGAACTGAACACAGCGTGACCACAGCCATGCAGTGCTGTGACCCCCCCAGCTGTGCCTGGGTGAGCAGGAAGGCGTGAGCTTTGGAAGTGCTTTGGAGCTGCTGTGTAGGACAGCATAACTGTCTGTGGCAGGAGATAGTGTGGCAGAGTTGCACTGTTAAAGAGCATCACTGAAATGCAGGAGGAGGAAAACAAGGGTGGAAATGAGGAGCTGTGGGAAATTATCTTCTGCTAAATCTGGCAAGACCCATCCATGGTGGACACAAGATGCTGTGGCCTAGAGCTCTGTGGCAAATCTCCCTGGCACAGCCCTGCCTGCTGCTGACCCCCAACCCTCCTCTTTGGGGCTGTACCCACACTTTAAATACCCAAAGTGGGTATTAAACCCCCTCTTTGCAGACTGGCCTTGTTCTTCCATGTTGAGTGTTTATGAGCCAGGCTGGGACACAGTCCCCGAGTGTGTAACTTTACTCACCTGCTGCTCTTGGGACAGACTTTTCCTGCCTTCTGTTGTCTGGGGCTATCACATTGAATTGCCTGCTGCAATTGCTTGGCCATCACATAGATTCTTATCTCAAGTGTCCTTTGGAAAGGGAGCCCTGAGCTGCTGTTGGGAAAGTTGAAAGCATAAATGTGTTTTGCACCTGGTGATGGGCAAGAGCATCTTTAGGGCTTGTGACAGTCTGCAGCCTCTGCTGCCTGAGCTGCCTCTTCTCTGGAAGGCTGAGCATCCCTGTGGGGCAGGAGAGGACCAGCACTGGTGCTTTGGCATGTCCCACTGTGCTGGTGGCTGGAGTCAGGTCCTCACTGTGCCCTGGAATGAGTCAGAGAGAGGGACTATGGTGGAATGCTGTGGTCAAGCATTGGAACAGGCTGCCCAGGGAAGCGGTGGAATCACTGTCCTTGGAAATGTTCAAAAACCCTGTAGCTGTGATGCTTAGGGATGTGGTTTAGCAATGGGCCTGGCAGGGCTGTGTTAATGGTTGGACTCACCGATCTTGAAGGTCTTTTACAACCTGAATGATTCTACAGGAGCAGGCATTGGTAGAGTGGAGGGAAGGGTGTGCTGCTGCTTGAAATGGGGATTCAGGAGAGATGGCAGAGCCCTGGGCTTTGTTTACTTAATTGT